TGGCTTCCTGGCGTCCCCCTTGCTACCCACAAGCCTTCCGCCAACCTCGGAAGTTATAAACAGAAACACTGGCGCTGGACCGTCCCAACGCTGCCACAGAGTAGCTGTGTGACCTAGATTCACCTCCCCGAGCCTCTGTTTCCACCTCCGTAAAAATGGGTACAAGAGTGGTATGTCTGGAAGGACAGTTGGAAGGATGAGGACGTAGGATGGTGCCCAACACACAGTAAGGACTCACATAGGGAATCCAGAGAAGACAAACTCAGAGACATGGAGAGTAGAGAGGTGGTGGCCCGGGCCTGGGGCTGGGGAGAGGTTGGTCAAAGGCACAAACTTCCTGTTACGAGATGCATGAATTTGGGACCTAATGTACGGCATGGTGATTATAGCGAACAACACCATGTCATATGCTGAATGTTGCTAAGGGAGTAGATCTTCAATGTTCTCACCATAAAAAGAGATGGGAGCTCTGGGAGGGGATGGAGGGGTCACTGGGACTGTGGTGGGATGCAGTGACTCATACCAGCCCTCAGGAAGCCTAGGAGCCCGGCTCCTCCAGCAGGCGGGGCTGGAGAGGAACAAGCTGGGAGGGAGCGGGGGTTTGGACGGCTGGGGTACGGTGTCGGCACTCAGGGAGAGAAAACAGCAAACAGGGAAGACGGGGCAATTCAGGAGAGAGTCCATGCTCCGTGGGGCGAGGACCTCGGAGCCAAAGCAAAGTCTTCAAAGACGGGCTGGGGAGAGAGGGGCTCCGGGTGCCTTGGCCGGGTCTCTGGAGCACTAGGGAGCCATTGAAGGCTTTGAGCAAGGGTGACACGCTGGAGGCTGGCAGACGCCTTCAAAGGGGCCAACCCAGAGCTCCCTCCCAGGAGCGCCGGCCCACCTCAGAGAACCAGCCCACGGAGAAGAGGGAAGGGAGGTGGGCGGAGGCTCTGATGCACGCTGATACTGTGTCCCAAGTTCTCGGGACCCTGGAGGGACTGAGCAAACCCGGCTGGCTCTGGCTGCCACCTCCTCCAGCCGCCAGCCTGGATTCAGCCTGGATTCCACAGCCCTGCTGGCCCCGCCCCCTGGGAATTTGCTGAGTCAGCAACAGTAAGCACTGCTGACTCCACTTTGTCCTGCCTGGCTGGGGACCACAGGCAGCAGCTGTCACTGCAGGACATCGGGGGCTGGGAGGAATCACAAAAAACCCACAGCACAATTCCGCTGGAAAGTCCACAGTGCATCGCCAGGTCCAAAACACAACCATGTTGATGAACATATATATATATATGTTTTTGTGGGTATTTTTCTTGTGTGTGTGTGAGGAAGATTGGCCCTGAGCTAACATCTGTTGCCAGTCTTCCTCTATTTTATGTAGGACGCCACCACCACGTGACTTGATGAGCAGTGTGTAGGTCTGTGCCCAGGATCTGAACCTGCAAACCCCAGGAGGCCAAAGTGGAGCGCGCAAACTTAACCACTACACCACTGGGCTGGCCCCTTGCTTTGTTTTTTTAATAAAGTTTGTTTGGGTCAGAGAGCCACACACAAGGGGGCAGAGCTGAGACACGAGGGTGAGTGGCTCGCCCACGGCCCTCGGTGATGACAAGGGGACGGCGAACTCAGAGGATTCAGTGCGCACCTCACCTGTGCGTCTCATCGTCCCGCAGGCCGTTAGCGGTCAGCTTGAGATCCCATCCTTGTCCCCAAAAACCGTTAACAAGTGATTAAAGAAGACAGTTGAGGTGATGTAAACAAACTTTAATACTTCATGAAGGAGACAGCCTCCACCGGGAGAATTACAAAACGGGGCAGAGGCTGGAAGCTTCCGTAGGATAAAGACTCAAGAACAAGGAGGAGAAAAACAGAAAGGAGCTGTTGGCTAGGGCCACACAGTCACCCTTGATTCGGGGGAGAAGGAACAAGGAAATAAGTAGAGAGCCTGGAGCTGGCTTGGTGTTTGGGGATTGGCTGGCTGGACAGACCGCATTTCTGGTCACACAGAGCGCTGACAGGAACACTATTGTATAAGTTTCGCTTTGCCAACATGGCGGAGTGGTCCCATCTTGGGCCTAGAAAGTCATTTCAATAGGCCCCTAAAATTAAGGGGTTGGGTTAAAGTCTAGCATTCCGAGAAGAGGTCCTGGAAGATGCGAGTTGTCCCAAAGACAGGGAAGACAGAGAAAGAAGAGGACCAAGGACTGAGCCCCGTGCAACTCGGCAGTAAGAGGGCAGAGAAGGAACCAGCAAAAGGGACTGAGAAGCGGCTGGTGCCGGGCGGGCCCTGGAGTCCCAGGGGAGAAAGTCTTATGGAAGGAGAAGGGCAAGAGGCTGTGACAGCCCAAGTAGGATGAGGACGGAAAAAGCCACTGGACTCAGCAGCAGGGACGTCACTGGTGGCGGTGGAGTGACAGGGCAAAAAACTCGATGGGAATGAACCCAGAAAAGAATGAGAAGAGAGACATTGGAACTGAGTGTCGATAGGGCTTTTGTGGAATTGTACTGTAAACAGAAGCAGGAAAGGGCAGCTGGAGAGAGCAGAGGGGTTGAAAGAGAGGGGGGCTTTTTTGAGGATTGAAGAAAAAAACCCAGCCAGTTTGTATATTGATGGGACGTATGCAGTAGGGAGGGGAAGATAGACGCCAAAGACAGAGGGGAGACCTGAGCAGGTGGAGGGATGGGCTGCAGGGCACACAGTGAGGGGTTCACCGTGATGAGAGGGACCATGTAGGGCATCTACAGTGGCAAGAAGGAAGGCAGAATGTGGGCACCAAGGCAGGTGGGCTGGTGAGAGAATTAGACTGTTGGCTTCCAATGGCTTCTATTTTCTTAGCGAAATAAGGAGACAGGACATCTATTGAGAAAGGATACAGAAGGAGGGGGGAGTTTGAAGAGAGGAGATGGTATAAGATAGCTCCTAGTTTGTACGCTCAAAGATAAGGCTAACAGAAATAAAATGTACCATTGATGAAACAAGACAGAAGAAAAATAGAGCAAGAAAATGCAATGGATTCCATAGAAAATAGGAACCAGGAAACATGGATTTAAAGGGAAATTATGGTATAAAAGAAAACATATCATAAGTCCAAACATGACACTAATCCCAATAAACATGAACAGGTTAGAATCGCTAGGTAAAAGTCAGAGGCTTTTTGCTTGGATTTCACAAAAAGACGTGTTAAGCTCAGTTTGTAGCCCAGGCTGATGAAGCTCAACGTACCCGTGACCCAGAGTCTAGAAGTATGACACCAAGCTGCTGATAGTGGTGATCACGGGCTGGTTTAGGAGTTCCGGAGAGATTTTTGTTTTCTTTACACCTTTCAATATTTTCCGAATTTTTTGGAAGGTGTGTACATTCATTTTATAATCAGAAAAAAAAAAAATAGAAGCTATTTTTAAAACCAGCTGAAGCAAATCTTCATGGAACCTTCATTTGCTGTCCAAATGAGCAATGGGTTCCAAAGATGCTCTAAAGAAGGGTCCCTGCCCTCCAGGAATTGGCTGGAAAGGAGACCAGCTGGACAGTAGCAGAAGGGTGCAGGGTAGTATGAAGGCAGGGTTCCACTGCTGCCTTTGAGCCCCTGGTAGAGGCAGGAATAAGTAAGGAGAGCCTCCTGGAGGAGGAGGTGCTTGCAGTGCAAGCAGGATGCAACCCAAGGGTGAGCATTCCAGGCTAGGGGAGCCAGCACAGGGTGCATGTGGGAAGTGGTGGGTGAGTCGGGGCACAGAGGCCAGGGAGGTGAAGAGGTTGTCCTTGGTGAGCTATGTGGATAGGCAGCGGGAAGGACAAAAAGAAGCAGGTGGGAGGGCAGTTATTCCTAAAATGGGCAGCCTTGTGCCCAAAGCACGTGAGTACAAATGGCCGGGTTGCGATCATTGCTCCATTGCCCACCGTCTACCTGCCACATGTTACACATACACGCACACATACGCACACACTCCTGCACACACGTTCATCCAGTGTGGTCTTTTCTGCTGCTTCGTGGTCTCTGGCCCTTCAGCCTGGAGAATTAACTGTCACAACCAAGGGGGACTCTCTTGGCCCTGGTTCAATCTTTCTTGACCCCTCCCTACCCAGCATGCACTGCTTCCCCCCCCCGGCCCCAGCCCGGCCATGGGAGGCATCGGCCAGCTGCTGAGAGGCAGCTCCCCGGCTTTTAAACAGATTCGACAGGAGAGATTTGCAGTTGGGTGACAGGTTGAAGGGGCAGGAGCAGAGGAGGTGCAGGGAAGGGATGGCTGCGGAGAGGGAGTGGGGAGAAGCAACGAGTAGGGCTTGGCCACTGGCGGGATGGGGAGGCGGGGAGCAGGAGGCATGAAATGAGACACTGAATTCGGGAGTGGATGTGGGGAGGGACAGAGATCTGGGGGTGGCTTTGGGTTCAACGAGCTTGAGGAGCCCGCGGGGTGTCTGGTGACATTGGGAAGCCCCATCGAGGGCTCAGGAGAGGGTGACAGGGTGACAGCAGGCGATAGGAGTGAGGGGCCGTGGGCTGGATCTGGGAGGCGTGGGGTCCAATGGCTGCTGGTGACCCGGGCCTCACAGTGCTCAGGATGTCGCTCCAGACTCATACCAGCCCCCGAGTTACGAGGATCCCCGGGGGGTGCGTCTCCTGGGTCAGCTCACGGCGTGGGCACAGCCACCCTGCAAGCCAGGCAAGGGCACCGAGGGGTGGCAGCAGCCCCACAGAGTCCCAGGGCAGAGCCCAGATCCCCCCCATCGACAAAGATCGGGCCGCTCCTTGCCAGGCTCCCAGCCCACACAGGGCAGGAGCAGCTGCCCTCTCACATTTGAGCCTCCCTCCGAGCCGGGTTAAACTGACTGAGACAATGATTACTAACCCCTCTGCCGTTAAGTGCCACCTGGTCACAGTTTAATTCATCTGGGTGACTTCAGTCTCCGCTCTCCCCATTTCCCAAATTCAGCTTCTCCCGGAGGTCCAGGGGCAGCTGCATCTCTGGGGAGAGGCTGGTGGCTTTAGGGTCACAGCTCGAAGCCTCTGGTCCCAGTCGGAGCCACCCCGAGTGACGGCTGCCGGGTGGGTGCTGAGAGATCCCCGGCCCCGAGTCAGCGACGCCGGGGGCTGCTGCCATGCCCCAGGCTGCCCGGCTGGCACAGCAGGTGTTGCCGCGGGGGAAACAGGCCCCTCGCCTGGGTCCGTTGGCCCTGGGCCGGCCTCTGTGAAGCGGGCACCTCCACTGGGCCCCCTGGGCAGGCTCCATGGCCTTTTCTGAACTCCTGGACCGAGTGGGCGGTCTGGGCAGGTTCCAGGTTCTCCAGACGGTAGCCCTGGTGGTCCCCATCGTGTGGCTCACCACTCACAACATAGTGGAGAACTTCTCGGCCGCCGTGCCCAGCCATCGCTGCTGGGTGCCCCTCCTGGACAACAGGACTGCCCAGGCCAGTGCCCCCGGCGCCCTGGGCCCTGAGGCCCTCCTGACCGTCTCCATCCCACCGGGCCCCAACCAGGGGCCCCACCAGTGTCGCCGCTTCCGCCACCCACAGTGGCAGTTCCTGGACCCCAACACCACAGCCACCAACTGGAGCAAGGCCGCCACGGAGCCATGCGTGGACGGCTGGGTCTACGACCTCAGCATCTTCACCTCCACCATCGTGGCTGAGGTAAGGGCCTCCCCTGACACCCTCCCCAGGTCCTGGCAGCTTAAAGGCCAAAGTCACAGCTCACAGTTGGCTGGACTCAAAATAGTCCAGGCCCAGGAGGGACCCTCCTCAGGCCTCATTCTCGTGGGCTTCCTGCCCATCCTGGGCCACATGGCCCCACAGGGGTGCTGGTGGCAGGAATCAGCCTACAGACAGACATCTGCCCTGGGCTCGTGGGAGAGGGGGCGGCACCAAGAATGGGCGCCCTGGACACCCAAGTGAGCCCTGCTGCCACTGACGAGCTGTGACTCAGGCAGCTCCAGGACCCCATTTCCACCGCCTGTCACAGGGGGACTCAGAGAAGAGTCACTGTATTCCCAGAGGCCACTGCAGGAGGCACGTCAGACAAATCTGGGGAAGCGGGAGGGGCAGCCATCCCAGTCAGCGAGAAGGGGCCTCTCTGGAAAGAACCAGAAGGAAGCGGCCTGGGTCTCGGGGGTGGGGAGGAGGTGCCAGCTCCCGGCGGCTGCTGCTGAGTGGGCAAGGCAGGGGAGGGCGTGAGGCTAGAGAGGGCAACAGGGAGCCATGGAGGGGCTTGGGCAGGGGTGACACCCCACAGGGCCCTGCCCTACGGCTCTACAGGTCACGGGGCTGGACACCCACCCCCGGCTCCCAGGAGCCTTCCCATCACTCTCTGCCCCTCCTACCTGGCTCTCCTCTCCCACCAGTGGGACCTGGTGTGCGACTCGCAGGCCCTGAAGCCCGTGTCCCAGTCCATCTACTTGGCTGGGATCCTCGTGGGAGCTGCCGTGTGTGGGCAAGTCTCCGACAGGTGAGTACCCCCGGGCCAGGCAGGCCCCGTTTTCCCTCACTGCCCCTGCTCTCCTGCCCCCAGCCCTGACTGGCCCCGAGCTGGCCTCTCGCAGCCACGTCTGAGGAGAAAGCTCTCTGCTTGCAGTCGGAACACCTGTGTGTGCATCTCGCTCCTGACACCCTTCGGCTGTGCTGCTGAGCAAGGCTCATACCCTCTCTGGGCCTTGGTTTCCCCAACTCTTCCTCTATGCTTGTGGAAGGTCATTGTTCTAATCAAACATTCACTGCTCATGGAGCAGCCCGGTGGCCCAGCGGCTAAGTGCGCACGTTCCACTTTGGTGGCCCGGGGTTCGCTGGTTCAGATCCCGGGTGCGGACACGGCACTGCTTGGCAAGCCATGCTGTGGCAGGCGTCCCACATACAAAGTAGAGGGAGATGGGCATGGATGTGAGCTCAGGGCCAGTCTTCCTCAGCAAAAAGAGGAGGATTGGCAGCAGATGTTAGCTCAGGGCTAATCTTCCTCAAAAAAGAAAATTTACTGCTCAAACCTGCTCAGCCACATGCCTGCCTTCAGCCACTGCTTGAGTACTCCTGAAGACAGGGAGCTCATTTCCTGTTGAGAGAACCTTCATGCCCACCTGGACCATGAGGACTCTGTCTGTGCTCAGGAGCCCTCCATGGATGAGGAACGTGGGTCTGGCCCCGGGTATCGCTTTGGCATCCACCTCTGCTCAGTGGGCAACACGAGGTGGTTCGGGTGGTCCAGAGCCCCGTGGCTGACGCCATGGCACACCACGGACCCACACCCTCCTGTGTGTGTGTGCGCAGGCTTGGGCGCAGGCCGCTGCTGACCTGGAGCTACCTTCAGATGGCCGTGTTGGGCACCGCTGCCGCCTTCGCTCCCACGTTCCCTGTGTACTGCCTGTTCCGCTTCCTGGTGGCCTTTGCCACGGCGAGCGTCATGATGAACACTGCCACCCTCGTAGGCGCCCCCGAGCCGGGGCCGTGTGGGCGAGGCTCGTGCAGGCTCCCGGCTGACCCGCGCGCTCTCCTTGCAGTGATGGAGTGGACATCGATGCAGGCCTGAGCCTCGACAGTGACTTTGAATGCCCTGGGCTTCAGCTTCGGCCAGGTCCTCGTGGCCCCCGTGGCCTGCGGTGTGCGTGATAGGGTGCCGCTGCAGCTGGTGCTGTCTGCCCCCTTCTTCCTCTGCTTTGTGTACTCCTGGTGGGTGCCACCTCCATCCCCCTCCTCAGAGGAGACCCTGCCCACCCTCCACCCTGGGGGCAGAGGCTGGGGACGTGGGAGGCCAGGGGAACAGGGCGGGAGAGGAACCATGGGAGCCTGGCACAGCGGGTGGCCACAAGCCCGCCACACTCCGATCCAGGGCGCAAATGCCAGAGACGCTTCTCCTTCCCTGCTCCTCCCAGGTCCCTCCCTCTCCCTTATTCGTCCTTCTCCCTCCCCATTCCGTCCTGTCACCTCTTGGTCCTTTCTCCTCTCCTGTCGCTACTTGCTTTGGCAGGTGTGCCTCCAGACACATTTTCTGAGCCCCTCCTCTGTGCCAGGTGTGGCAGCATAGGCCAGGCTGTGAGGTGGGATGCAAAGATACAACACACACACACACACACACACACACACACCCCACTCCCAGCACACACAGCCACAGTCGGCCGTACATACTGACATTGTTACTAAAGAACTGGGACCATGACCCAGTGGTCAGAGGGAACCCCCGGTCCCCTAGACAGAACTGACAGATATGGCAAGTTAGGAAATGTCTGCACAGCCCTTAAATAAACCAGGCATGGCCCTTGCCAAGTGCCTGGCACATTGTAGGTATAGAGTAATATTTGTTGGATGGATGTCTGGATGGATAGATGATAGGTAGATAGATAGATGAGTGGATGGGTAGATGAATGGATAGATAGATAATAGATAGATAGATGAGTGAGTGGATGGGTGGATGGATGGATGGGTGAGTGGGTGGGTGGGTGGATGGGTGGATGAATGAGTGGGTAGGTGGATGGCTAGTTAGATAGATAGATAGATAGATAGATAGATAGATAGATAGATAGATGGATGGTTGGATGGTTGGATGGATGGATGAATGAGTGGATAGATGGATGGATGGATGGATAGGTAGATGAGTGGATGGATGGATGAGCAGATGAGTGGATGGATGGATGGATGGATGAGTAGATGAGTGGATGGATGGATGGATGGATGGATGAGTAGATGAGTGGATGGATGGATGGATGAGTAGATGAGTGGATGGATGGATGGATGGATGGATGGATGAGTAGATGAGTAGGTGAGTGGATGGATGGATGGATGGATGAATGGGGCCCTTCAAGGCAGGGCTGAGCTTGGTTCATTCACACACAGGCACAGCACTTAGTAGTCACTTGGCCGTTGAGGCCATGGGACAAGGGAGCACAGCAGAGGCCCAGGGGAGGACGGGGTGCCGGCACCCACACTAGGAGGAAAGCTGGCTCCACAAATCTCTCCCAGCCCAACAGCTCAGAGCAGAAAAGCTCTTAAAATGAAGGCTTTAAAAGTAATTTGCAGTCACTTTCCAATTACATCTCATGCAGTGGCTCTGAGAGGAGGCAATCCTGCGTGACAGGTGGCCTTCTGGGATGGCAGATGGACCCCAAAGCAACAGGGTGGAGGGTGGAAGGTGAAGGTTGGTGGTGCAGATTCCGCGGCACCCCTCCCGGCTCTTAACCCTGATGCTGGCTCATGGGCCTGAACCTCACTTTTCTGGGCAGACACCCCACCCAGGTGCTGTGTGAGTGCCCACACTCACTCACTACTTCCTCACTTCAACAAATAACCACCGAGCGCCCACCGTGTGCAGGGCACTGGCTGATGCTGAGTGTGACAGCAATGAGACAGGGTCCCTGCCTGTGTGGAGCTCACAGGAAATGCCATACATGACGACACCACAAGCCATGCTTAGGGACTGACGAATAGCAGGGATGTGAGCATCTGAGGCTGGGGCCCCTCTGCCCCTTGAACTCCTGCCAGCTTCTCTGCTTCTCTTAAAAACCAATTTCTCTTCCTGAGAAGTGTCTGCACAGGCTGTCCCCACTTCTTCCCTCGCAGTCTCCTTGAACCCACCCCAATCGGGCTTCACCCACCTATAACCCTGTCACCATCGCTTGGCTCCCACCTTGCTCGGCCCCTGCAGCACACAGCGGGGATGCTCTGTCCCCAAAGGACCTCGCCTGTGGCCCCAGCTCTGACTCCCTCCAAATGCTGCAAACCTCAGTCCCCTCTTCAGTCTGACCCCTCCCCGGCCTCCAGCCTCGTGTTTCCAACTGTCTGTGGGACATCTCCGTTATTGCTGGCTCGGCATCACAGACCTAACGTCTCCTTCCCAAGGCTTCCTCACCGTTGGGAGCAGCCCCCACCCCCAGGCACTGGAGTCAGTGGCGCCGTGACACCACCCTCCCCCTCACCGGCCCCACTCCAAGTCCAGCAGCTCACGGGCTCTGGTCAACTCTTCCTCTGATGTGCACTTTGAGTTCCCCTTCTCCGCCCTGTTCTGCACACCCTGAAGGACCTCAGAGTGGGTGTGGAGCAGGCAGCCCCACCCCTGGCTGCTGCTCACAGGGGAAGGCTCTCTGGCTGGGGGGCCTGCGTGAGCAAAGGCCTGGGGGCAGGAGCACATGCAGAGTGCCGGGCACTACAGGGGGCTCAGCGGCTGGGCCGGACGGTGCAGGGGGTCTGGGCTTGATGCCGAGGGCCATGGAGCCAGGTTAGCGTTAGGGACAGGGTCCTGCCATGTGGAGGGGGAGCTGGGATGCGTGGGGCGGACTGGCATCCACGAGGTGGCAGCTGTTGTCCTGGTGTGGGCGAATGGGCCAAAAGCGAGGCAAGGGCTGCAGGGCTGGTCGGCTGCAAGGGGCGCCAGAGGTGACGGGAATTGGTGACTGACTGGGCGCAGGTGGAGGGGGCTGGTGATGTCAGGACCAGAGACCAGCCCCAGGCCTGAGCCCCCCAGGTGGGTGTGAAGCTGTTTGCGCGGAGGAGCCAGCTCGGGCAGGAAGGCGCGGCCGTGGAGGTGAACAGGAAGACCGTGTGACACTGTGACATCGGGGAGGTGCTGCACAGTGGGGGACCCTGGCGGGCTGGTAGCCTATTGTGAGCTTGGGACTATGATCCTGTAGCCACTGAGGGGTCCGTACTGCACACAGGCTCACCCAGGCCTAGTCCCCGCGTGAGGCAGAAGGAGGGCCATGGGGTCAGGAGGGAGGCAGGAAGGAGAGAACAGAGATCCCAACCCCCACTCAAAGGAGGGAGGAGGTAGGAAGGGCGGCCTCTGGGGAAGGAAGGCATCTGAGATGGCATGGCTGCCACACGCCATAGTGCCCCTCACTGCCCACCCACTGACCTCAGCCGCCTGAGCCTGGGGCCTGGGGGCACCAGTAAGGCCACTCCCTTGTGCAGAAGGGGACAGAGGGGCAGTGAGGCTCATGCAGGCCAGCCCTGGGGGCCACTCCACATTCCTCCCTCGCCCCCCGCAGAGTGTGCACGATGGCTGCTGTCACAGGCAGGCTGGAGCAGGGCCTGCGGGAGCTGCAGAGGGTTGTTGCCATCAAGGGGAAGAGGGCAGCGGGGGACGCGCTGACGCCGAAGTGAGGCGAGGCCAGGCCTTCCCCCAGGGCTCGACCCTCAAACCCTCTCCTGTCCCCACACAGGGCCCCTGGGAGACCGACCAAGGGCCCCGGCCTCCCAGGATGAGGGTCTTGGGTGGGGCGGAGGGCCTGCCTGGTGCCCCCAGTGCTGACATCTCCCCACCGCTGCTGCCCCCAGGTCTTGCTCTCAGCCATGCAGGAGGAGCTGAGCGCCAGCCAGGGTCCTGCCAGCCTGGGCACCCTGCTCTGCACGCCTGGACTGGGCCTCGGGATCTGTGTCTCCACTCTGTGCTGGTAGATGCCCTTCGACCCCCACCCTGCTTGGGCCCCAGACTCTGCCTCTGGCACCCTTGGGGCAGCCGGGTAACCTGGAATCAGGGCTCTGGCTGACATCTAGCCAGGGAGCCTCTGCTGGCTCTCTGTTGGTCCCTTTGCCCTGAGAGCACCTCCAGGACAAGGCCGGCAGCACTGGCACCTCCCCTCTGTCAGTCAGGCTCCCAACAGGGCACATCCCAGGCCAGGCGGGCTCAGGTAGGGCACAGTCGATGGAAGAGATTAATTAGGAGGATTCATAACAAAGGCACCAGGAGAGCTAAAGAGCCCAAGAGGCGGAGGAGGGAATCAGAGAACTCAGTGGCAGAAACACACGTCCACCCTACTTTGGAGGGACCAGGGAGGAAGGAGGGATATTGTCAGAGCCCAGGAGCCAGGGCCACCCAGCAAGGACTGAAACCACTGAGGCCACAGGAGGGAGGGCCTGCTCAGTGGAAGCTGGAGCCCTGCAGGGGACACAGTCACTGCCAGACATGACACCCAGACAGAGGGAGGGAGGAATACCCCTGCTTCTCCCCTGGTCCCGCCTCCAGCTTCTCACCAGTGCCTCCCATTGGCCCAACCTAATGAGGAGTGGCATTGCAAGGGAACGTGGGAAATGTAGTCTACAGAGACCACACCCCGCCACAGAGTCGGCAGGAGAGGGTGGAAATGAGTGTGAGAACAAACAAGTAAGTGAGTTGCCCACTCCCCAGCCTGACTCCACCTCCCCCACCCCCAGGTTCAGCACAGGCTTCACCTTCTACGGCCTGGCCCTGGCCCTGCAGGCCCTGGGCGGCGATGTCTTCCTGCTCCAGTTCTTCATCGGGGTTGTGGACATCCTGGCCAAGATCGGCACCCTGCTGCTGCTGAGCCATCTGGGCTACAGACCCGTGCAGGCGGCGTCACTGGTGCTGGCAAGGCTTTGCATCCTGGCCAACATGCTGGTGCCCCACGGTGAGTGGGCGGGCCAGGGTGCACACGGCTGTGGCCAGAGGCTCGCTACCTGGGGGGCCTGAGCCAGGAACAGAAAGCCCTGGCCCCCACCTCAGAGGGTGCTGGGCTAGAGCAGGGCCCAGTTAGGAAGGAGGCTGCCGGGCGTCTAGGAGAGGTGGCGGGGGCCTGCACTCGGCAAGAGGAGCTTGGATGGATGGAGAGTGTGGCATCGTGAACAATCGTGGAGAGGAAATAAGAACTCACTGATGGTCTGCAAGTGGAGAGTGGAGGACAGGGAAACGCAGAGGGTCAGGAGGACCCCAGGGTCCAGCTCAGGATGCCTGGGTGTGGAGCAGATCCGGGGGACAGGGAATGTGGCCATGACGTCACTTAGGACACAGTACGTGTGTGAGGTCTGGGTATACCCAAGTGGAACTGACTCATAGACATTTGGAGGGTCAGGGAGAGAGCCCCCCTCTGACCCTGGGCCCCTGCCAACAATCTTGCTAACCCTGTCTCTGTCCACAGCTATGGGACCTGCGCTCAGCCCTGGCCGCGCTGGGGCTCGGCGGGGTGGGGTCTGCCTACACCTGCACCATCGTCTACACTGGCGAGCTCTTCCCCACCATGCTCAGGTGAGGCCGTGCCTGGACCTGAGGAGAGGGGAGCCCTGGGCTGGGAGGGCGGTGTGGGGGTGGCCTTCCCCCAGCCTGATGTTCGCGTCGTGACTCTCTCTTTCATGTGGTCTTGCGGCTGCCCAGGTGCGTCCTGGCCCAGCCTGACCCACTGTGCCTCCCTCGGCAGAGCAGGGCTGGGCCAGAGTGAGAGGTCCAGGCTGTGGGCAGGCAGAGCAGCCCCTCACTGGTGTGTCTGTGCCGGCAGGATGACCGCAGTGGGGCTGGGCCAGGTGGCGGGCCGAATGGGAGGCATCCCGGGGCCTCTGGTCCGGCTGCTGGCTGTACAGAGCCCCTCGCTGCCCCTGCTGTTGTACGGGCTGGTGTCGGTGCTCAGCGGCCTGGCTGCCCTGCTGCTGCCGGAGACTCAGAACCTGCCGCTGCCTGACACCATCCAAGACGTGCAGAACCAGTGAGTGAACCCACCTCCAGAGAACCGAGCACGGGGCGGACCTGGCACCCACCCCCGTCACTGGACAGAGGGAGAAGCAGAGGCCCAGAGACAGATAGGATCTGCCCAGACTCACAGAGCACATCTTTGGGAGGGTGAGTTTCCTGGCTGACAGTGTGGTCTTGGTCCTCTGTTCTTCATTCTGCCACTGGAGGCCCAAATAGCGCAGCGACCTCAGCTCCCCCTCAAGAGAGGTCAAGGGGAAGGGGGTGTATAGCTGTTATAATGGGGAGAGCCGAGGGTGTGATGGCTGCTGTTGGGGGGTCCTCACAGGCCCCAGACTCTACTAACCCCCAGATGGCTATCGAGGCTGTCACTGCCCACCCACACTCCCTCCCACCCTCCATCATGTGCTCAGGGAGCTCAGTCCTGGGCCCCCGAGAGTGGGGCAGCCGTATCTCCTGAGTCCTCAGGATGGACACTCTGCGCCTGTGAGACACAACCCCTCCGTGTCTTCCGGAACAGGGCGGTGAAGAAGGCGACATGCAACACCCGGAGGCACCCTGTCCTGAAATCCACCCATTTTTAAGCCTCCTGGGAAGCCTGCAATGGAACCATGGGAAGAAGCTTCCCTCCTCTCCAGAAGGTAGAAGGAGAGCAAAGGCCTCGATTTCCAGAGGGCCCCAGGGCTGCCTCTCCAGCCCAGCCCAGCCTCTCTCACTGTCTGAGGAGCCACCTTCAACACACAAGGGGCAAAGGATGCTTTGATTGGCAGGAGGCTGCCTGGTGTGCAGTCACCCAACCCTCCCTCTGGCTACAAACAGGAGAGGGGACAGGTTTGGGGGAGGGACTGGCCTGTCGACCCCATGCTCCCCTCCTTGCGGCTCCCTGCCCCGGAGCTCAGAGGCTGCCATCACCCACGGTCAAAACTGCCCCAGCTTCTCGCTCTACTTCAAAGGCTCCGTACCAGCGATGGAGTCTCGGCTCCTCAGCTTCACCCCAAAGGCGGCTCAGACCTCTCTCCACCCCTCTCTACACTCCAGCCACATGGTCACTCCTGCCCAGCCATGTCTTCTGCCAGGAATCACCCTGCCACCTTCCCTTCCTGACAAACTCCCACTCAGCCTCCCAGACGCAGGGCAGTGGTCTCCTCCCAGGGGCCCAGGTCCCAGCCTGAGGCCCTAGTGAAATGCTGACCCACCACTGGGCCACACACCCTTCCCCCACCCGCCAGCCCATGAGTTCCCAGAGGGTTGGGGTGGTCCGCTTCCCCCATGTCCCCAGCTCCCGGGCCAGAGGGGCATCGGCACAAGGGAGATGAGACAATGAATAAAGGAACTGCCCCTCACTGACTCTGGTGATGAGCCCCGAGGGTCTGCTTGGGTTGAGGAGTCCCCACCGAGGTGGCCCTTTCCTAGGCCAGCTTTCCTGCCCCGAGTGCCAGGCGGCAATGGTGGCCCTTTCCAGCCCCTGTTGGGGGTCAGGCCCTGTGCTGGACACGTCAAGGCAACATCTCAGTTCATCTGTCCCTAAATCCTTCAAGGTAGATGGGCCCCATTTTACGGATGGGGAAACTGAGGCTCAGAGAAACTGACCACTCGTGACACAGCTAGGAGGGGCAGAATCAGGGCTGTAGGTCTCCAGAGCCCAGCTCTGGCCACAGAACCCCAACCTGCCCTCAGGCCTCACAATCCAGGGCAGGGACCTCCCCTTCAGAACCAGCCGGGACCCCACAGGGTTCACTGGCACCCCTCATGGGGAAACTGAGGGCAAGGGCTCAGGCAGAAAGGGGTGGACCAGAGTTCCCCCACCCCGGGTGACACAGACTTGGGGGCAGCAGGAGCTGTGTGCTGCCCAGTGGGGTCCCTACCTGCTCCTCTCTGCTGAGCCTCCCCGGAGCTCTGCTCAGGTGGTCTCTGGTCCACCTGTGCCTGTGTCACTTCTTCCAGGCACCTCCGTGGCGGGCTGTGCCCCTCCACATACACACATACGCTCATCAGTGATGTGTACACATGTGCATGCACACACACGAACAGGTCAATGGGAACCAGAAAGTGGCTCCTTGCTTCTGGGAAATGGGGTCACTCCCTGGCCGGGTCTTACCAGCTGCAGCCCCTGGGCATCTGGGGGGGGTCACATCTTTCAGCCATCCGCCTGTGGCCGCCCCTCAGTGAAGATCACCAGGACAAAGGGGTGGGGGCAGGGATTATGTTTGTAAAGATGCCCGAAGGCGAGGTTGTCCCAGCTGGCCGTGGACTTCGTCTTGCCTGTCTGCTGCCCAGCTGCCTTCCTTTCCCTTGCTCAGCACTCTTGGGGCCCCAGGGTGTCCAGAAGCTTCCAGAAGACAGAACCTAGGACTGGTGGGAGACGGCTCCTCCTGTCCCCTGGGGTGTCCTCCAGCTCACCAAGTGGTCAGAGCTGTCCCTCGGCCCACAATCAGAGTGGTCCTGCTCCTGGTCCCTCCAGGTGGTCATGGTCTTCCACACCCCAGGGCCTACTTGCGTCCAAACTGTCACCCCTCACTTAACGGGACCTGGAAGCTGAGAGGTCCCAGGGCCCTGCCTCTCTGGGGCTGCTGGGGAGTGACTGTCATCACCGTGGCCAAGTGGGCGCCCTGCACAGGGAGAAGGGGCCTCCCCAGCAGCAGCTGTGGGTGCTCCAGCTGGGTGTGCCACCCAAATGGCAGGCTTCTGCTTGGGACATGCTCTGTCCTCTGAGGCTCACCAGAGGGGGCTCCTGACCCCAGAAGCCGCTGGGGCACCCCGCACTGGAGGAGCCAAGGGAACTCGGTGTGGGAAAGAAGAGCCCGTCAACCACATTGAGGTAGAGGCCTCAGGCAGTGAGGACAGGAAAGTGGCTCAGGACCACTTGACCATTCTCCTGCCTCCAGCCAGGGCCGCAGCTCACCCAGGACAGGGTGTGTAGAGGGGCAGTGCGGGGTACCACGGGCTCCCTATGTACCCTCAGGAGAGGGCTGAGCTCCCATGAGAGCCCCAGCACTGGCTGAGCTCGTGCCCTCTCCCTTGGGGGTTTGCATGGCCAGGGCACGTCTTCGAGGTCAAAGGCATCAACCAGATTTTCACTGCAAGTTTCTTCTCCAACCCCTGTCCTTGGTCCCCAACCCCAGGTGGAATCTCCTGACACATCCTTGCATGTATCAACTGTCAGGGAGCGGGGTGCTTGAAATTTCAGCCACCCCCAGAGGCTGGTTGGACTCTCCTGGGGGGTCACCGCCAGGCCAGCCAGATGCCAAGCAGCCCCAGCTCAGGTCCAGATACTAAGTTCAACATCAGATGCACAGGACGAAGGAGCTGAGACCAAGGTGACCATCTCTTAAAGATGGGTAAACTGAGTCAATGGCAGAGTCCGGGAATCTTTCCTCTTAAACCAAGCCCTTGAGTGACGGGAGCTCTTCTCCTCCTTCTGCAGAGAGGAGAACACGCAGAGCCACAGCCACACGGCAATGAGCAAGACTGGGGCCCAGCCTTCCAACCCCTGCACTGTCCCTCTTTCTGGCCCCCTACTCTGACAGACTGGCCATCCTAGAAATTTCTGGAGTAAGGATGTTCCCTTCGTGACACCAAGGAACTCCTGCCTGCCTGTCTCTGTTTTCCTTGGCTAGTGGTGATGGGGGCAGGGGAACCCAAATAAGTCTCCACCCCTCAGACAGACAGCAGCAGCAGCAGACCGAAGGGCACGACCATCGCCAGCACAAGGACAATCCTGGCGAGACTAGCCCAGCTCAGGGCCTCCCCCAGGCTTCTACGGGGGTCAGAGCTGACCTCAGTGATGCCGACCTCAGGCTCCAAGACTGAGCAGCAGGGGCCAAGCAGGGCCCTCGCCTCCCCCAGGTGGCTGGTTCAGGAGGGCAAGGAGAGGCCAAGCCATGGAAATCCATATAGGGGCTGCTGGGGGACCGGTCTCTCACCCATGATAGGACTCTGGGGGAGGACACTTAAGGGCCTCTGGGGGCACACCCCATGGTGGGGAGGGTCCCAAGACAAAAGCATTATCCCAGGATGGAGGAAAGGAGAGGGAGATGAGGCCCACCTGGGCGGGGCTCCTGCAGGCATCGAGCCCAAGGGCCCTGGGAGGTGTCCAGGCCTAAACATGGACCAGGTTAGTGAACTGGGAAATGCCGCAAGAATGAGCCACCCTTAGATGGCAGCTCAGGAAGCAGAATCGGGCGGTGAAGGGTGATGACAAGCCAAGGGCGCGAGAGAGCAGAGGCAGGAAGGGGAGGCAAGATCTACCAAGCAGAAGACAGAGGAGACCTGAGTGACAGAAGCGTGGCTGAGTCGCGTCTCATGCGTCCAGCAGCATGGGGGATCCACCACCACCACATGGCCAGGCAGACCCGCCCACACTCTGCTCTCCCAGGACACGTGCACACTTGGTCCTCAAGTACAACCCCCACCTGGAGTCTGCTCCTTGCAGCTGAGAGCCTTGACCCATACAGACCTGTCTCTCAGCGGGTCTGGGATGTGGGCCTGTCTAGCATCTTCAAGAAGGAGCAAACCCTGGGGAGGACGCGAACCAGCTCTACGTCCACCTGCAGTGTCAGGAGCCGCCCACAGTCAGCCAGAGTGGATGGGGGGGAGGGGTCTAACCCCTAGAGATGCAGAAGGAGCAGAGACTCTGAAATCAGGCAGAACTGGGGCCAAATGTGGACTCAGCCACCGATTGCCTTGAGACCTTGGACTTGCCACTGAAGCTCCTGTCATCCGGGCATAACCCTGCTTCCCCTGAGGGCTGCGGCAAGGCCAGCACCCTGCACACGCAGCCCCAGGAGGTGCAGGCCCTCCTTAGCCACTAGGGCGCAACACGACGCTCCTGCCTCCGGTCATACTCCGCGCCCTGAAAAGCCAAGGTCATTGCCCACAAACCTGGGGGCTGTTTCCTGCCCCCATCCTCAGCCCAGCGGGGACACTGGCGTTAGACAAAGCCAAGCCGCCCAACGAGCCCAAAGCCATGCTCAACCCAAAGCTTTGGGGGCTACTTACCAGCTCTCCTGGGACCCAGTTTGGGCCCAGACCTCAGTTCAGCGCCAGGGCCAATGTCCTAACAAGCACCCGCCCGGAACAAACGGCACAGGACCATCGGATTTGGAAAGTTTTTGTTTTCTTTTCCCACACATTTCCGGGGTTGGGGTGTTTTCCAAGACTCAGACACATTTGTTAACAAAGAGAGAGAAAAAAAAAAAAAACTGGGGGAGCAGGGAGCCCGTGGGCAGAGAAGCGACCCCAGCAGTCCGCGGGGCGATGCCTCGCTCCCTCTCGTCCCTGCTGCCCGCGCCCAGCGGGTGCCACAGGCTGCTGCTCGCGGGATCTGGATTATTTGTCTTCAATATATATCTGCATTTGCCTTTCCCCTCCCCCCGCCCCCCACCCCTGCTCCTCCAGCAGCTTCCCCGTCAATGCACGTCGCCCGGCGGCACACGACAGAACCGGCCACCCCAGGCCCGAGCCCCTTCCCAGGGCGGCTCCGGGGGGGGGGCGGGGGGCGTCTGCTCCCGGTGGGCGGAGTCAGGGCGGCCCAGCCCCGCCCACCGCGGGCCGCCCCGCCCACCCTCCAGCCCTTCTCCCACCGACTCTGGAACCCCGAAGGGAGGAAAGGAAGGGAGAAACCAGACACACACAGAAAGGAGGAGTGGGGAGGGAGGGTGGGGACAGAGAGACGCAGCAAGCCTGGGGTGGGGCCTGGAGGGCCTGGGAAGAGAAAGAAGGAAGGCAGGAGGGCCAGAGGGAGGAAGAAGGAAACTTGAGGAAAATTAACAGGACGCGTAGTGGACACTTTACAAAATCCCCAGCCTTCCTTCCCGCCCAACCCCACCAAAATAAAACTACCCCCCTTAAAAAAATAAATCAACCCAGGGCTGTGAGCACGTGCCCTGCCAGGCGGGCGCAGAGCTGAGAGGGACAGACGGCCCCAGGGCTGCCGACGCCGCCGCGCCGCCGGCAGGAGGAAGGGGACGAGCACGGGGTTTTCCTTTTCTTTCTTTCTTTTTTCCTTTTTTTTTTTTTTTTTTTTTTTTTTGCGTTTCCTCTTCATGAGAGAAGTCTGAGGCTGCCAGGGAGTGAGCGGGTCCCCAGGCCCCGGCAGGGAGAAGGCCGCCCCGTCCTCCCGGGCCCTCCCGGGAGGGGCAGCTGGCAGTGGGGCGCGGTGCCGGGGGGCTCAGACGTAATACTCCTTGTCTTTGTTCTTCTTGCCCTTGCTGGGCGTCTTGGGGGCGGCCGGGGCCTTCTCTTTCACCACCGCCCCATTGCTCTGGGCCGAGTTACTGATGTAGTTTCGGCTCTGGTCCACCTGGTAGGAGCCCTCGTCGCGGTTGCGGTACTTGTACATGGCGTAGAGGAGGATGAGGATGCAGAGCGCCGCGGCCGCCACGATGCCCACCACCATGCCAGTGGTGCTGCTGGACTCCCGGATCACCTCCACTGCGCCCGGCGGGCCCCGCTCCCCGGGCCCCGTGGGGTTGGCTGTGGGCAGATGGGGGAAGCCAGGGGCGGCGGTCACGCCGGGGCGCAGGGGAGGGGGCCTCCGCGGCTCGAAGGACGTGGGGGCCCCGGGCCCCAGGGGCGGGTTCTCCAGCAGGGGCTGCAGCGGGTCTCGGTGGTTCATTTTGCCCGCCGGCAGGTTGGGGGCCGGGGCGGAGGGGGCTAGCAGCACCCCGGGGGCGCCCGTGGCCCCATCTGTCCTGAGGTTGGGCCGGGGAGCGGGTTTGCGGGGTGAGAGGAGGGTGGTGCGGTCCGTGACCAGGGGAAAGGTGGTGTAAAAGTCCTCGTCGTCCGTGGGGGGGAGGCTGGAGTCAAAGACCTCCCCGGAGGCGAAGCCCGAGGCCTCGATGGGCTCCTCGCAGTCGCTGTCGTCCTGCTCGGCCTGGCACGGGCCCCCGGCGGGCGGGCGGCGGGCCGCGGGCGGGGGCAGGGTGTCTTGGGTGGCGCCCACGCCCGTGAGGAAGGGGTAGAAGGTGGGGGGTGGGGGCACGAAGGGGGATCGGGTGGCCACGGGAGGGGGGTCTAAGGAGTCCTCCGTGATAATGGGCAATATTAACTCTCCTCCTAGAACAAGAGACAGAAGAGAAAAGAGAGAGCGTCAGCGCGGGCCGGGGCGCAGGCGGCCGGCACAGAGAGAGAAACAACAGCCTCACACACCCAAATCGGTTCCAATTGGCTTTGGCGGAGACTAGAGCGGGCCGGGCCCGCCCGCCAGCCGGCCGGAGCCCTGCGCTTTAAGCGGGCAGCGGCTCGGATGCCCTGGGCACCCCACGCACGGGCTCTGTGGCTCTCTGAGTTTTGGTCTTTTGTTTGTCTTAAGAAACCAAAAGGAACAGAAAAGAAAGGAAATGGAAAAGAAACGGAAAAAAAAAATCTCTACTGGTTTAAGGCTTTAAAAACAGATACAAGAGCAGCATTTAAACAAACCTAACAACAATATCTTTTAGGGTTTTTTTCTAGATTTTTCTCTTTTTTTGCTTTTGGTTTTTTTTTTTCTTTTGTTTTTAAAAAAGAAGATAGCATACCACGGAATTCAGGCAACTTACATCAACAAATAGGCCGTGTGATTTTAGCATGAAGAAAAAAATTACAAACAGAGCTGTGTAAGCGGGTTCTCCCGAAAAAAATAAGAAAAAACAACTTTTCCGTACAACGTTTTCTGTCTATCTGTTTGGTATCTCCCTCCCTCACTCTTTTCTCCCTGAACATCTTGCTTCCTCCAGAATACTCTCTCTCCTCCCTCACTCGTGCCCTCTCCCCCTCATTAAACACAAAGCTGAAATTTGCACAGTGCAGGCTGGCATGGTGGAATTGTTACCACCACTTGGTGTCAGCGTGTGGGTTGGGGAGGGAGGGAGCAGTGTGAAAGGGGGCTCGGGGAGGAGGTACATGACGGGGGAGCCATGTAGGAATTGCTACATGGGTGAGAGGACTTGGCAGGGGATGGTCATAGGAAGGGACATTGAAGACTAATTGCAGGTTGGCCATGGAGAGAGGAGAATTAGAAGGTGGGAGGTGATGAGGTCCATGAGGAAGAGGTGGCAGAGAAGACACAGACACACTGGAGGAGGGTCCTGTCCCATAGGACTCTGGGAGGGGTGGTGAGAAGCCATGTAGAGGCAGGGAGGGGCGGAGGCAGGGAGTGAGGGACATATGCTTCTTGAGCTAACCCTAAATCCCCAACTTTCACTTTCTTCACCCTCCACCTCTGACCCCCACTGACTTCCCCCCTCCCCCTCCCCAGAACCCCCATGGGCCGCCAGGACCTGGCCAGGGCTTGACTGCCTCTGGCCCTCTTATTATTGTTAAAACAATAATAAAACAACGGAAAGAAGAAGAAAGCAAAAAAAGAAAAGAAAATACATACACAGCCATCTGGGAAGGATGCACTTGCTAATATAGGGCCCAGGAGAACTAGTGGGGGGGGGCTTTTGGGGCGGGGGTGGGTCTCTTCCCTCCCCAGGTCTGATACCTGGGGTCCCCTGGGCAGAAACTGCAATTCCCATCAGTCCCAAAGGGTGAGAACTACAACTCCCATTGGCCCTTGGAGCGGTATGGACCACAATTCCCATCAGCCTCTGGGTCAACAACTACAACTCCCATCAGCCTCCTGGGTCCCCTCTCCAATCAAAGTACTGCAACCCACTGGTCTAGGGCAGAAGGGAGCTGGAGCCTGGCTCTAGATGGTTGGTTGTTGAGGGGGGGGGGTCTGCCTCCTCTTGGAGGGGCACCTCTGAGCCTGGTGGGGGCTGGAGGGTTCCTCTCTAAGTCTCCCTCCAGCACAGCACAGCTCCTCCCCCGTCTGAGTGCTTCTCCCTGGTCTCTGCAGGGTGTGGTCTCCACGGATCACACCACAAGCCCCCTACCCCTCCACAGGAAACATCCCAGGGCTCCACTGCCAGGCCCCGCTTGTCCCACTGCAGCCAGGCCAGCCGCGTGACACCACCACATCCTGGCTCCTCTTCTCCTGCTCCCCCCACCCAAAGCCCTCCGGTCTCTGTGCTGCTGTTCAGACACCTCTACTGATCCTTCAGACCACAAGCTCCAGCAATCTGGCAGAGCCGTCCTTGGCCACACTGGCCAGCTGCAGCCAAGATCTTGCCATTGAACTTGCAGCCTTGCCGAGTTGCTCAGGCTGCTCTTCCCATCAGGCTCCAACTGCCCCCTGGGCAGGGGTTCACCTGTACCCCAGCTTGTAAAGCCCCAGGGCACCTGGCCCTCCAGGGGCTCAGCCACACTGAAAAACCGAGCCAAGAGCAAAGAAGCATGTTTTGTGGAGCTGGGACCAGCCAACCCCAGCTTTTTACCGAAGAGGATGCTGAGGCCTGGGGTGGACAGGACTTGCCAAGGTCACCAGGTGTTGGTGTCAGGCTGGGTGAACAAATGGACTGTCGAGTCCCTTCTGTGGCTCTTGGAGGCCAGAGGAGGGCTGAGGCCCACAAGGATCCCAGGAAGGCCTGGCTCATCCTCCCCATGCCTACAGGAACCTGCTAGGGTGCTTGACTCTTGGCTTGGATGTTAACCTGGGAGGCCACAGACCTGTTGGGTCATTAATTCCTGTGTGACTATGGGCAAGTTTCTTTCACTCTCTGGGCCTGTTTACTCATCTACAAAATTAAGGTATTGGGTTCCAGGCCCAGGGAGAGGTCAAGGCCTGGCTCCCGTGGACCTCCAGCCTCCAGATGAACAGTTTGTCCTCCCATCCCCACCTGAGCGCCAGATCCACCCAGGATGACCCAGCACCTCGGTCCCTGGGTAAGGGGCAAACTCAGCCCTCAGCCCTCTGGAGGAGCTGGCAGCCCTTCAGCTGGTGGCATCCTGGGTCCAATCACAGCAGGGTTCTGCTGCCTGCATGGACCCTGAGCGCTCTGGGGTCCTCACGGCTAGCCCGTATCATTTACCCTCTTCCTGATCTTTGCCTTCTATTCAGAACACTGTCCCCCTGCTGATGTCTCACTCAGCATTCGAATCCAGCCAAACACCTCCTCTTCCAGGAAGACTTCCAGTTTGGACTCACTGCCAGGGAAGCCCGAGGCCCTGTGTCTGTCTCCCTAGCGCCCAGCATTGGGCCAGGCACAGAGCGGGGGCTCATTGGGTTTTGGCCAGGGGAAGAGGAGGAATACTCATCATGTATTTCCTCTGAGCCACGCCAGGCTCAGAGGCCAGGTTCAGAGGCCAGGCTCAGGCCAGGCTGGGGCCCCAGAGGAA